ATCAATGTCTTTCATGTTAAAATATTATCAATTACTTTGTGTTTGTGTCATGAAATTTTTGGTCCATATTTTACGTTGTGAATCGAAGTTACCCGGATTTTGTATCCAAAAACACAACCAACACAAAATGCACATTAAAAATAGTTATAGTTCAAGCAATTCAAACTCAACATATAAGCATTAATTTAATATTAATTTATGTATAATTTTAAAATTCAATAATTTTGTATTGCATAATATATACCCAATGACAACCTCTTTGACTATCTACAAAGAAGTCATAGATTTTTGTTCTCTCTTACCGCTTCAAATTAGTCATCAAATTAGTAAACGACATTATTCGTTTAAAGTTTTCATAACTTATCTTTTACTTTTTTTGCTACGGTTCTGTATTGTTTTAGGGGAACCTAATTCACATGTGTAAAATGATATAAATACCAAATCAAATAATTTGATTCACTATATTTGATTAACAAAAAAATATTCATAGTAATTTTGTATTTTTTCAGAGCAAATTTTTTTTTTTGATTCACTATATGGTTTTTGTGGTTTCCAATGTGAAATTTTATGTTTTAAGATTATGTGAAATAAGGCTATTGTTAACACCAAATCAAAGATTAGTAAAATCTTGATGAGGTGATATATTGTTATTACAATGGTTTGAAGCAAATTAAAAATATCACAAAGCACACATACATGCAGAGCCGGCTTTAGGCACAAGCTAGTGAAGCATGTGCTTGCGGCCCCAAAATATATAGTTCTTAATCGGCCCCATATTAGTAAAAGTCTCTTTAGTCTAATGGTTCAAGGGTATGGAAATATTACAAGTATCTCAAGTTCGATTCCTCTGAGTAACAAACAAATTTTAGATGTCAAATCCAATTGTTGTGATTTAAAACTCTGATAAAGAAATTGGAATCAAATTAAGTTTCCGTATATAAACACGAAAAATCGAAGTAGTTGATAGAAGATATAAAAATTAAATGAAAAAATGACATTCCACATTTTGGTGATCATAACTAAAAATTGAAAACCTTGCGTTTTACGAAATCAATGAATAGCGAGGCTTCATTGGCGCGTCTCTCCAACATGTTGCTCCTTTCGATCTGACGGAAAAACAGCAAATAACCTGTGACAACCAAAAAACCCACCGTGATCAACCGTGACAACATCGGACTCAGCGACCATCGAATCTTCCTCTTCACGGCTTTTTCCATCGCGGTGCAAAACCCATGTAATACAAAGAACCAAGTAACTTCCCAAGTAGGCGTCTCACGGTTTATGTAGAAGTATACCAGCTCGTGAATCAAACCAGAAACGAAGAATGTTGTCCAACACCCCATGAACCTTGCCCAATCAGACCTCATTTGGTGTTGGCATACCGAACTCACGGGAGAGTAGACGCCTGGCCGGAAAATAGCCGGAACCATGAGGTTCCAACGGTGACCCCAAAAGTCTTGAAGAGACGTGGCTAAGTATGGTTCGTTGAAATGTGGCTCCAGGTCGCACCCAAGAATGATGGTAAGCAAAGCGTTGACGATGGTTTAAAAGAACGTCAAGCACAAGGTATAGATGCAATGGATAGAGACATATTAGAAGAATTGGTGGCAACAAACTTTTGTAGTTATGAACGTTTAACAACACCCCAAAAATTGCAGCTTTACCAAAGAAAACCCATTTAGGTAGATGGTTTTGAGAGTTAGGGTTCTTTTGAAGTTTGATGGGCAAGCAAGTAAAGCATATGAATCGGAAGAGATTAGTGGGAAGTGGTAAAAGAGGACCTTTGTCAAAGGCAAATAGGATGAGCTTAAAATTAGCAAGTAAAGAGAGGCAAAACGCAGTGGTGGAAGAGAAAATCGTAAAGACGAAGAACAAAGGAAGAACAAGAAACAGAACACAGACAGGAAGAACCGAGAGTAATCGATGAACACCGCTTTTGATCTTCGATGGTATATAGTAACAGTAAGAGACAGAGATTATTGCAGAAACCCATACTTTGACGAAGCACTTGAGTTCTTCCTCCATTCTTTTTTTTTTCTTGCGTTGCTCAGTTTCTGCAATAACCTAGTTTTAAATAACTTGGTTGTTTGACGTGTTCAAAACGTAATCGATTGAAGAGATATAATGTTTTTTTTTTTTTAACGCAACTGAAGTTTTCAAACTTGCTAATCAAAAAACATATGTAATAATATCTATAGTTGGTTCAATTGACATTCATAAGATTTGCATTAGATTGCAAGAAAATTTATTAAACTTTCTAAAATATTTATCGATTTACTCGTGTGTCATACTTAGTCCTAATCTAGCCATAATATGCAGGCACGTTTTTTGGTTTGTTAAGAGTAATATAATAGCAATATAATAGATGAGAATGTGATCATTTCATGTGATAGGGATTTTCTATTTTTATTTTATTTTTATTGTAGATTTTCTATTTCATTGGGGTATCGACTCACTTCAATATCTTCAACGAGGATCTGTCCTTCTAGATATTGATTACTTTTAACTTGATGATATCCATGTTTACATCACGTAATGATCATATATTCGTTTTCAAGTATTGTTAAATTTTATTTTGAAAAATCATAGTTGCAATCTAATAGGAGATCACACCAAATACAACATAGCAGGCCTCGGATTCTTTGAGTTAATAAAGTAATTGTAGATCCAATTAAAAAAATCTTTTCTTAGTGTACAAAATTATTTCAGTTCACTAACAGCCTGTTAATTGTAGTCATATGTCTCATATCATATTATCACACAATTCTTTCATATACGGACAGCCTGGAGACATGTTTAGGGAGAAGTCAGCCATAATTTTTAATCACAAATTATTTGTTTTTGATAAAAATGCTTGTGTTATGAAATAAATAAAATGTTAATCACAAATTGCGTAGGCCCCGGTATTTGGGTACCCGTACCTGATCGGGTTTTTTTCGGGTTTTGGATCTATTCGGGTTAGAGGGTCGAGACCCATTCGGGTATTCTAAAAATTCGGTTCGGATTCAGATCAGTTCGGCTATTTTAATAAAAAAAGCAAAATACCCAAAAATAACCAAAAATACCCAAAATATTTTCGGGTTCGGGTTCGGATCGGATTTTTTACTCATATATACCCAAATCTAACCGAAATACGCGATTTCTCGAAAATACATTGGTTACTCTTTACCCAAATATAACCAAAAATATCTAAAAATACTAAAATTACCCAAAGAAAACTACAACATTGGTTACTATTAAGCCAAATATATCCAAATGTATCCGAATTACTCAAAAATATATAGTATATTCAGATTTATGATTGTAATTTTAGGTATTTGGGGTATTATAAGTATAAATATAACTAATATTTTTAGGTGTATATTTGTATTCGGGTATCCACGGGTATTAGATTCGGTTCGGGTTTGGTTCGGTTTTTTATGGGTAGAGAGGTCTAGAACCCATTCGGGTATTTTAAAAAACCGGTTCGAGTTCAGTTCGCATATTTTTTCAGGTTTTCGGTTCCGGGTATTTTGTCCAAGACTAAAATTGCGGATAAAAATTATATTTTGGGTTATTCTAAAAAATATATAAATTGAATATCGTGGGTTACATGCACAACATATGTTTATCATCATCCTTTATTTTACTGTACCACATGTGAAATGGAGATCCACGATGGTTGTTATAAGCTGCTACGAAAGATGAAACAACCTTATCATCCACAACATGCTCTCATCAGGAGTATAAACCATAGAACCAGAACCTTGTCCAATATAATCAAGAACCTGATCCGCTCATTACAAGGGGTTTAATACACTAATGCGTTCTTACCATTTGTTTTTTTTTTTTTTTTAGTTAATGTTTATTGTTTTACGTCTATCTTTTCTTTAAAAAAAAATTTCATTTGGAATTTCAACAAATATATTTTAATATTTCTATTTTTTTTTTGTAAATTTGAATTCGTATATATATATCTACGGCTCTTTGGAATATGTCGGTTCATTACGACAACATGTATGAATATCATTGATAAACATATAGTGGTAAAAAGTTTTATAGCTATTAAAATTGTATTATGGTTAAAATGGTAAACCATTGTTGATACGGTACATAATGATGGCTTAAAAAATAAATCCAATTGACGATATTATAGTTTTTAGAATAGTAAATTTATCTTTAATGCTAAGTGATTTTGAAAGTTCAATCTTTTCTAATCACAACAGCTAAGATAATTAAGTTAAACTAGGAAAATTGGTTAACGGCTATTTTGTATAAAGTCATAGCTTGATCGAGATTTGATATTATTTTTTGGACAAATTATATTATTTTTAATAAATATTTCTTGATCTTATGTCATATTGCGCTTAGAGACTTCTATCGACGAAAATGTTAGAATTGTTATTCGTCACGACATTAAAGTGTAACATCTTACCTCATTAATTAACATAATCATGGTAACAATAGTACACCATTCTTCGTGTAAGTCTTGAGGACTTATTATTGAAGACTTATTTTTTGCTCTTTCCTACGGTTCTATATATTCTTTAGGACAAGCTAATTCTTTTTCTTTTTCTTTTCTTTGAGCCAGGTCCGTACAATATTGCAATGCTACTCGTGAAGATCTAGATATCAAGTTATTTTAATGGGTTTTTTTCTTTTATAAAATAGAGTTAATATCGGTGGCCCACATATCTGGATAAAACACTATGACTTATCATCTCTGAATTTTACTATTTGGAAGCGGATCTTATGAGATGCAAGTTTTAGCCACACTCTCCACCTAAAGAAAATTTTCAATAAGTACTTTCCTTTGACCGATAGATGATATCTGTATAATGTTTTAGAATTTTGTGATTTCCTATCTTTACGTATTCTTACGTAAAAACAAACCCATTATGAACCTTAAATAGCCAATATAAAGTATAAAAGGAATAAGTGTAACCAGCAAACTTTTATAATAATTAGTTAATTTTCTCATATATAACATGGAACGACGAAATAATACTTCTCTATTTATTCAAATTCGTGTCATTTTATAGCAAAAAGACTCGAGAACTAAGGATTTTGCTCGCGTTCGACTTGAACAGTAACATGACTAATTTTATGCTCTCTCTTGATATGCTCAATAATTTTGTCTAACATTGCATCTGTGTTTGCCTCATGCTTGATTCTAACATGGCAAGTCAAACAAACTTTCCCTACGGTTATAGCCCAAACGTGAAGCTCATGGACCGCAATGACTTCATCCATATCGCATAGACCCTCGACAAGTCTAGTACAATCAAAATCTTTTGGAGCTGTCTCCATCAAAATATTAAGCAGCTTCCACGTGGTACTTATAGTTCTTGCCACTGCCAAAACCGAGAAGATGAGTGTACAAACAATATCAAGAAAATGTAATTTTGGCTTCCACCAAATAAGTCCAGCACTTATCACTACTCCTACACTTTGGATCAAATCTCCAATTACATGAAGATAAGCTCCTTGTACATTTATATTCATTTTGTTCCTAGCTTTTGATCCCTCTGAGATCCCATTTTCTTGATCTTCACGTTTCTCGATATGTTGATGATCATGATGATGATCATGGGAGTGTCCATGATGATGGTCATGACCAAGAACGAAGACCATTACAAGATTAACAATCACTCCAAAGCAAGCAACTCCAAACATAAGAGGCCCTTTTATTTCTTTGTTCTGGTGGCGTAGCCTTTGGATTGCTTCATACACAAGTATCCCAGTGAGAAGCCAAATAATCTGGATTGACACAAGATTTAGAAGAATCTCGATTCTAAAATAACCAAAGGTCCTTCTCGGTGTTGGTTTCCATCCAGAAGCATAGAGTGCAAATATAGAGATTGCGAAGCAAGCAACATCTGAGAGTAAATGAGCCGCATCAGTCAGAATTGCGAGGCTATGTGCTTTGATTCCGCCAACTACTTCAACGACCGTGAAAGTCAAGCATATGATTATCACAATTGCGAGCTTCTTCCTAGACATTGAACGATCCTCATTGTCCTCAGAGATTGTTTTGGCACTATAAAATTCACAAGTTGTTTCTCCGCATGTCTTAATTTCCATCTCTTTTAGACCTCTCTCTGCGTTCGAAGTGTCTATACAGATTTCAATTTTTTGTCCTAGTTCAAGACCAGTTTGGCATTCCATCTATAACAAGTAAATCATATGTATAAAAGTAAGGTTTTGATCATTTCATCCTATAAATGCATTTGGATTCAATTATTACTATTACTTAATGATTGTCCATGCCAAGCATGTTAGGTGATTCAATATAATGATTAATACAAATAAAATGTATTTATTATATATCTTTATATTGAAAATATAAAAATTATAAATTTATTGACTCGTCGTCAAAGTGATGACCTAAAGAGTTTTTCAGTTCGCTAGCTCCATCAAAGTTAGACAGTATATATGTGAGATTATACGCGAAAAATGTGTTGTTCCATCAAAGTCCACTTCGTAAGGAAATGAAGTTTGTTTAACGTTTGTTGTTTTAGTTTATGGATGATGAAACCAGAAGGTCTTGACGTCCAAAAAGGAAGCGGTTTTTCAAAAGTTCCTTTGTTGCATCTATATTGCCGTTAATGGTACTTACAAACATTGCCAAGTTTCAGCGACTAAGTTTCTGAGTTGCGGATAGTAGTGTAACACAACAGGATCTATTGTTGGATCAATCTTTTTTTTTTTTGTTTCTTGCTTCTTTACTTCAAATTCTGCAAAATCCATAATTAGAAAAACAAAATCATGACAACTTGTGAGAGTACAAAACTTAATCTTTTGACTCAAGTTCCAAGATTGGCTTTATTACATTCAGCCTAAAAATGGACACCCGGATAAATTATAGACAGGCTAGCACGCACTGAAAAGAACTACAAATTCTATGTGCGGTCTTGAGATAGAGTTGAGAGGCTACTTGGTTCTTAATGGAGTGTATAATAGCTTTGTTTCACCGATTGCCATCTTCCAGAAGTAGAGACTTCCTCAAAAATCTTTAGAATCATCTGTGACAAAGAAGACTGAGACAATTGTAGTAGATAATAGCATGTGTCGTCTTCTATCAGATAAGAGCAATAAGTGCATCCCCGCATGTAGTCTTTATCTTTGTTTTCTCTGTTGTTGCACCAGACAAGGGGATGTGAACTGCTTGTAAGTGGAGGCCTAGTAAATTTTTTCAAATAATCTAATACTAGAATTGTTGAATCTTTGAATTGTTCTGAACCAAAGTCTTCTTTATCTGCTACATTGGAATTCACAGCCAAATGTGTCTTTGTTCCAACCACTGTGTAAGCCCCATACATGGGATAGGCTGGTTCACTTTAAGAGAATCTTTTCTATGATCATACCCGACGCTGTCGTGGATGAGTGGGCTCCGTAAAATTCACTAGATGAAGGGATGGAACATAATCCATCCTGATTATGTTTTTAGTTAATTAAAGAGATCTTATTATAAGTTAGTAAAGGCAAAAACGAATAAAAATTTGAAATTTGGGTAGCTGTTCCTAAGGGGCCCTACGAATTTTTAATTGTAATTAGAGTATTTTTTTTTTATTGATTTGTTTATCACATTGTGATATTTTACATGATTAAATGGATAATCATATCTTAGAAGACAAACGGTAAGATAAGCAATATTTTCAATTTCTAGAGAATCCATATATAGTTGATACGAGAGAGGGTGGTTTATATATGATGATTTGAGAGTGTATGTTGCTAGGTTAAAGCCTACAACATAATATATATAGACGTGGGTTATGAATGTAACGATTCTTTGATTGTGACGACCGATACCAATTACTATACTTATATGTGTTATATAACAGTTCATCAATCTGTCGACACATTTCACATCTCTTCAGGACCAAAATCTAGAGAAAGCAAAACAAATGAATGTGTGAAAAATTCCCTATGCAACTTGTAACAATAATCTATCTCTCCTCTTTTTCTTCTCCTTTCTTCACGCCGTCTTTGCAGCCTCATGGTATACATAAACTGAATCTACTTTGTATCTCCTTACACAGCTTCAAGACCGTCTTGCGGTAGAATGAGGTGACGCATTGGCCTTGGCGACTTGGTACACTCCTGGCGTCTGAGAGTTAGTGGGATCCCTTCTTGCTCAAACCCATTACTATCTTCCAAATGTTTAGGAAGACGAACAACCAAATTTCCTGAGGACGAAGAACCTACAACCGGACACTTGTTAATTGCAGAAACATTCTCTCCTTTTTCATTTTATACACATTTCTAAAGAAAGAGCTCACCCACCTTCAACCATGTCTTTTGTTTTGTGAAGCAGAAAGGTTCCTGAAAGGATTGTCACAAACCCACACAACTCCGTCACAATCTGAGTTCCGTCCTGTCGATCCCAGTCCTGTTTCACAAAAGTTAACAATTGTTGTTATCTCTAGTTACCCAAAACAAATTAGAGAAAACACCAAGAGTTATACTTTCACCTTAAACATGATGACACTAGCCAGGATGGTCAACGATGTGAACATAACATAGTATATGGGTGAAACTACAGCCGTGTTGAACGTGTCAAGCGCCTGTCATCAAGACAAAATAAAGAGAAGCCGAATGAATTTTCATGATATGTTAACAGATATCGACATGAAACTTGATGCTACCTCTACCTTGTTTAGATAGTTCATTTGGGTTATCACGCAGGTGAGAACTATCAGCGTGAAGACCCATGTCTGAGGGTAAATTAACTGATTCATTCCTGAAAACGTAAGCTTTAATGCTATCCCGAGCGCTTTGACGCTCATGACCTGCTTGCACCACTCAAATAATTAGGACTCAAAACAAAGCGAATGAATCAAGATGATAGATCATAAGTTTTGGGCACTTACCGACAATGATCCAACAAGAGAACAAACCCCGATATAGACCATGACATGTGACTGTCCGTACTGTGGTACAAACTGAACTATGAGTATAATGGCTGCTCCTACTACTGCTGCAGCGTAGAGAAGAAAAGCTGCAGCGGTCATATCACCATGTCTTAGAACAGATTAATCAAACATCAATTAGACGGGATACAATCAGGTTTGAAAAGATATCAAATGGTACCAGGTTCTGTTGCAAGATTCCATACTTGTAACACAGAATCAATCTCTTGTTCTTGAGGAGCATGTAAGACGATAGTTATCGAACCAACAACACATAAGACACAACCAAGAAGCCCGAAAGTATGCAACTTTTCGTGTAGGATGACATGAGCAAGAGCAGCACTGGAAAATTCACATCCGAAAAAGTTCTATTACTATTACTCCAGTGCACAAATCTTAATGGTTCAACAATACTATCATTGTGAATCACAATTTAGACTAGGCGACAATTAGGCTACTTTCTTAAATGAATTCCTTATATAGACAACACCAAAAGTTGATTGTGATTCCACAGCTAAATAATTAATCTGACTTAATACTATCCAAACCTGATAATTATGCTGAGAGCACCGAGAGGAGTTACTAAAATGGCAGGCGCAAAGGCATAAGCGGCAAAATTGGCAATTTCCCCGACAATCACTACAAAACAAGGAAACATTGTCTCTGCCATCAACATTACTGAAATGCCATAACTACTTAATACCCTCGCCATCATCCAAGAACTACAAACAAAACCAATCTGCAGTAACAACAAGCTAACCAAGACCCCAAAAAAGGAGCAAACCTTTAAATATGAAGGGAACTCACTCGTTATCATGCCTACCCACCAGAGAGGCTCAAGCAGGTAAGAGTAACCTCCAGAACCTACACAACAACACCATCACCAAATTCATCAACGAAAATTAAAAGAGCAATATACTCTTACAACATCTGTCATCATTAAATAACATTTGATTAGCCATTGGTGCTACTTAAATCACACTAAAACACACTAATTGATCCACTAGAAATTTGAATCTACCCTGAAGCAGAAATCTAAAATTTCCAATCTTTGCATAGTAAGAGACATTTCACGTGAAGCAAACACAGATCTCCTCCAAATGTTATAACAAAATCAGTAAGAGAATGAAAATAACCAGCTCTGAGACCAGAAGCACCAGCTCTCTTGAGACCTTTCTTCTTAACAATGAAACTAGCACCAATGAATAAGCTCGAAGATAAAGCCAAAACTAAACCCTTTATGTTATCCGAAGACATTCCTTTATACGCATCTCTCCAACTCCCACTCAAACTCGCCATGATTCTACAATACCCTAAAACCCTAAATACCCAGAAGAAAGAGCTTTAGGCTCGAATCACGCGATTGGGAAAGAAAAGACCAAAGCTTTTCAGATCTTGGGTTTGTCCATTTGTGAGAGGATATAGGAGACGATTTAGGGATTTGAAATTAAACGAGGTAGATCGGATATAAAGACAAGAGCGTAGAAGAAGAGTGACAGGAGAGAAATTGTAGTGATGAAGAAGCATCTAAAATTACGAGAAAGGTAAGATTTCTCAAGCCCTCATTTTGTTTTTTTTTTTGCTTTAGGCAACAAAACAACCTCTATATTTTTTAAATTTATATTTTTAGTGACATAATAAAACGATATAAGTATTTTCGATATTTAATAATTGCCGGTTAATTAGAAAATTAAATCGGAAAAAAATAGCGACACAAAAATAATATTTCATCCGTTTTAAAATATAAAATGTTGTAGATAAGACATGCAAATTAAGAAATATCCACTTTTAAAAAGTTCAATCAATCATGAAAAAAACAACATAATATAAATAATTAGGTCTCGACAAATAAACCGAACCGAATGTACCGAACCGAAACCGAAGAAAAAAAACCGAACCGAATGTACCGAACCGAAACCGAAGAAAAAAAACCGAACCGAACCGAAAATTTGAAAATAACCGAATGGATACTAAATTCTATAACCGATATAACCGTAACCGAATCGGTACCGAACCGAAATATTTCGGGTAACCGAAATACCCGAAATACAATTATATTTTCAAAATAATTTGTTATTTATAGACCAAATAATCAAAAATACTTGAAAAATATATAAAAATACTCGAAAATAATCAAAATATATCCGAAAATTCTCAAAAATAATCGAAATATCCGAAAATATCCTAAGCAAAATAACCGAATGGATACTAAATTTTAAAACCGAAAGAACCTGAACTGAACCGAAACTGAACCGAAATTTCAAAATATCCGAATGGATACTAAATTTTGAAACCGAAAGAACCGAAACCGAATGGACCCAACCGATAACCGAACGGTTAACCGAAAGCCCAGGCCTATAAATAATTGTGAAATATTATATTAATCTATAATTTGCATAGAAACTTAACAACATTTTTTATTATGAAATAAAATTTTTTTTTCCTAAACATCTTATATTATAAAACAGAAGGAGTAGTTGAATTTAATTTTTGATATTTACTAATTTGTACCATTTTGTGATTAGTAATAAAATGAACAGTATAATCTTTACTACTACAGTAAGAGAATAGATTAAAAGGGTTTTGTATGGAGTAACTACCATCATAAAGTTTAAAGCTTAGTTGCAAGTTTTCATAAATTGTTATTCATTTTATGCGGAATCGTTAAAGCGGAACACATATTTTAGCCGGTTTAATAATAAATATGGTACGGAATTGACTGTGAATCGACACGGAGATTAGAGTTTAGATCACAAACGTACATCAACTACAAACTACCGCTCAAATGTCCTTCCGGTTGATCTCTCGAAACTTTCTCTCTCTATAACGTTTTACTATTTCAAGATTTCTCTCTATGTGTCAATGGTTACAAAGTTCTTATTTATGACACCCGACAATCTTTTTTTTGATAGATAAAAATAAACTATTTTATGAAAAAACAAAAATCACTTTTGTATTCTTCGAGAATTAACTTTCCAAATAACCAGTTAACAAAACCGGTTCGGTATACTGGTAAATCATAGACGCAAACCGATCAAAAACCAACATTAAAAAGTCCTTTTTAATAAACATTAACTAACAATTATCTCACCAGCTAATCTGTACTGAATCCAAAATTCATTTCTATGTGGCTGATAGTTGTTAACCAAACAACAAAAACATTTTAGACTCTTTTCCATCATTTATACTTCAAAACGTTCTTATACGAGAATTAGAAAACCAACATTTGTCAAGTGAGTGAGAGAGACCATGGGTAACAGTGAGTGAGAGAGACCATGGGTAACAGTAAAAGCTAATGTGAAAAATGTGTGTTAATGGTAAAAAGTAAAAACTATAATATGTGGTCGTTAATGGTTTTTCTTCCTGTAAAAAAAGTAGCATAAGGTTTTAAAGGCTTTAACGAGATTATTATATATTGGGCCTTCATAAAAAGCCCAATAGCCCACAACAAAAAATGCGCGTGCATCACACCTTCAATACAAACACTAGAGTCACACAGTGATCGTCACCGGTAAATTAGTTGGCAAACTCCGCCTGCTCTTCGATAATTCCGAGGAACTTCTTCACTCTTCTTAAATCTCATTTCTCTATCTCTCTCTCGCTCTCGCTCGCATTGCGATTAACGAAAATTCGAAAAATGTCTCGTCTTCTCCAAACACCCTTCTTACCTTCCGTTACTCTCCCCACAAAAACACGATCTTCCGTTACGGGTTTCCGAGTAAAGCCCAGAATCATCCCAATTCAAGCAAAGATCCGAGAAATTTTCATGCCTGCACTAAGTTCTACAATGACCGAAGGCAAAATCGTCTCTTGGGTTAAATCAGAAGGCGATAAACTCAACAAAGGAGAGAGTGTTGTTGTTGTTGAATCTGATAAAGCTGATATGGATGTTGAGACTTTTTACGATGGTTATTTAGCTGCGATTATGGTTGAAGAAGGTGGTGTTGCTCCTGTTGGTTCTGCTATTGCTTTGTTAGCTGAAACTGAGGATGAGATTGCTGATGCTAAGGCTAAAGCTTCTGGTGGTAGTGGTGGTGGTGATTCTAAGGCTCCTCCTACGGCTGCGATTGAAGCACCTGTGGCTGTTGAGAAGAAGATTGCGGCTCCTCCGGTGTCGGTTAAGGCGGTTGCGGCGTCTGCGGTGCATCCGGCGTCTGAAGGAGGGAAGAGGATTGTGGCGTCGCCTTATGCTAAGAAGTTAGCTAAGGAATTGAAAGTGGAGTTGGCTGGTTTAGTTGGAAGTGGGCCAATGGGAAGGATTGTGGCTAAGGATGTTGAGGCGGTTGCTGCTGGAGGAGGAGTTCAAGCTGCTGTAGCTGTTAAGGAGGTAGCGGCAGCTCCTGGTGTGGAGTTGGGATCGGTGGTTCCGTTTACGACAATGCAGGGGGCTGTGAGCAGGAATATGGTGGAGAGCTTGACGGTTCCTACTTTTAGAGTCGGCTACACGATCACTACGGATGCTCTTGATGCTCTCTACAAGAAGGTGAGTAAGTTATTGAAATTAGTTTGGTCGAAATGATAGAGCAGATTGGAGCTTCCATTGATTTTGATAATAGTTGGTTGATGAACTTTTGAACTTTGGGATGATATAATATTTTAACAAGATTGGAGCTAAGAGTTAGAGTTCGTGCAATTCTGTTACCAAGATGCTTAAGTAACCCATGGAATTGTTTATCACTAATTTGAATGTCTTTGTTTGTCCAAGGTGAGTATGTATAGTACTAGTAGTTTTTCGATTGCATGTATGGTTGAACAATGGTTGTAATCAGTGAATGAGATTATGAGAGATAGCTAGTTGAGGTATAAATAATACTCAGTATCTTATGATGTGCATCAGAGGCACACACTAGTTACAAACTGTTAGTGTATATATTGATTTTGTTAATATTTTTGTGTTTGGTTGGTTTAGATTAAGTCGAAAGGTGTGACAATGACGGCACTCCTAGCAAAGGCAACTGCACTTGCACTGGCGAAACATCCAGTTGTAAACTCGTCCTGTAGAGATGGTAACAGTTTTGTGTATAACAGTAGCATCAACGTTGCTGTTGCTGTTGCTATTGATGGTGGTTTGATCACTCCGGTGCTTCAGAACGCTGATAAGGTTATTTTCTTCTGTATGCTTTATAACAGGTTTTGAGTTTACTCTGTCTTCAAAACCGGTATCAGTGGGTTGTTCTATCTTTTGTAAACAGGTTGACATTTATTCGTTGTCTAGAAAATGGAAAGAATTGGTTGATAAGGCTCGAGCCAAGCAGCTGCAGCCTCAGGAGTACAACACTGGTAAAACTACTACTAGAATATAGAAGTGATTTGAGTTTGAGGTTTTGCAACAGAAATGCTTGTGTAACTGGTTCTTGATCAGAAGTCAAGATTTTCTGAGTCTTGTTTCTTTTATTTCCATTCCGGGTAATTTCAGGTACCTTCACTCTCTCTAACCTAGGAATGTTTGGCGTTGATCGGTTTGATGCTATTCTACCCCCTGGAACAGTAAGTGCTTTTTGCTTTATGCATGTATTTTAGTTTGTAAAACTAATTTTCTTAATTCTCTTAGCCTAAGTATTATGCTAAGGAATAACAGCTCACTGATTTTCTTGTCTTTGATCAATGAAGGGAGCGATTATGGCTGTAGGAGCATCTCAACCTTCAGTGGTTGCTACTAAAGACGGCCGCATTGGCATGAAAAACCAGATGCAGGTAAATCTTATTATCAACCATCGTTAGAACTTATTCCTCTTCTCCTTTTGTCTTCATGAAATCGTCTCGAGTTGTCCTGGGAACTTGTTAATGATGACTGGTCACTTGCAAACCCACAGGTGAATGTGACGGCAGATCATCGTGTCATCTATGGTGCTGATCTCGCACAGTTCTTGCAAACATTGGCAAGCATTATTGAGGACCCAAAGGACCTTACATTCTAGGCCAAATTACTGCTTTTCGCATCCCAGTCTTCTCTGCTCTTGATTCCATGGGAGCTTGTATTTCTGCGGTAATCAGTTTCTTTGATAGAATCAACCTATTAAGAGTAATGTTGAACATATTCATTTCTTTGTTTGAGCTATCTTCTGCAACATTTTGCGCATGGAAAAGGCAGTCTCACATGACTTTTTCACATATATCCACTTCATGTGATGAATCTTATATGGACTGATAATCTGATAACTTTAGCATGGTTAAATAACATGAATCTTATATTGGACTGATAATTTCCAAAATACAATTGTGAATGCATTACATCCGTCTTGTTTCTCAGCATCTCAAAAATGGAGATGCAGATAATAGACTGTCAGAGGAAAGAAACCTCGCTAATCTCTATGCTGCTTATACATACAGTAACAAGCAAAAATTTACACATCATGCATCATCTGACACTTTTACTTAGAGTCTTGTGAGCATCCGTAGAACAGTCTTCATCTTTGGTCTTGCCCCAGGAGAGATGTTTATGCAGGCAAGAGCAATACTGAGGGCAAGGAGCATCTGCTTTGTTGCTACAGTTGATGTTTTGCTCACTCTGAGATCAAGAATGTCGTTCTGCTGCTCTTGATGGCTGGAATGGCTCTGCACCCACTTAGCCAAATCTCTTCCTTCACTTACAGCTGGCCTTCCAGTTAACAACTCCAAAAGAATCACCCCAAAGCTGTAGACGTTCCCAGCCATTGTCACCCTCATCGTGTAAGCATACTCTGATGAAGAGATCAAAAGTGAAAGATTAAGAGAGCTGTTGTTTCTCAGACAAGCCCATATAAGTTTTGTAATATGTGTTCACCTGGTGGAATGTAGCCGATAGTGCCTGCAACTGCGGAGAGGCTGCTGTTGCTTCTGGAAGGATCGATTACCTTGAACAGTTCAATGTCCCCTACCAGGGGCTCAGTGAGCGACTTGAGTATTATTTTTTTACTAGAGAGATCTGGTAGAAGGATTGGATCACGACCGTTGGATATAGATCCATGCAAGTAAGAGATTCCCTGAGCTATACCAACTGCAATACTATACCTGCTTGTCCAATCAACCACATCACTGGTAGGGTTGTGTAGAACATCGTAAAGGGTACACGTGTGAGCAAAGTCATAGACGAGCAAGCATCCTTCTGAATAGAGCACATAAGCTAGTGGAACCATTATGTTCGTGTGATGCAGCTTGCCCAACATCTCTAGCTCTAGCTCTAGTTGCTCACTACTGGCTTGCTGGAAAATCCTGTCTCTTGTGTTCAGTTTTTTGATGAAGTAACTCGAACCAGAGGGCATTACTACTCTGTAGTAACTCCAGAACATTGTCTGATACAGAGCACTTTCTGGATGAGCAACAGCTTCCACAGCTTTGGTGAAGTTTATGTTTGATCTGTGTAGAGCATTTGAAGTGAGAAGTTTCCCATGAATGACCTCAGGAAGAACAGTTGAGCCTTCTTCGTTTTGGTCGGCCTCTATGTTGTTAATCCCCTTGAAGCGCCTAGAAAGTTTCAGCACGATGACAGTTATGATCCCGGCCACGATAGCGCAAATTCCACTGGCGACAAAGATTATAACCAAAACTAGTTTACTCTTCCCAGATGACGTTTTCGGGATTGAGAATTTATCCTCATTATTCAGCTTGATCCCAGGGTTTCCGCTGACATTGAGTAAAACATTCTTGGTGAACTTTGGAATATTTCCGGTAAGCTGATTGTTGGAGAGTATGAGCTGTGTAAGGGACAATAATCTTCTCAGCAAATCAGGGATTTCGCCGGAGAATTTGTTATTTGACAGATCAAGAACTTCCAAGCGGTCAAGTTCAGACAATGTAGTAGGGATAGATCCTTCAAACAAGTTGTAGCTGAGATTTAAGGAAATTTGCAACTTTCGTGGCATTACTGGGATCCTCCCTCGTAGCTGGTTTTGTCCGAGCTGAAGTTCTATCAAATCCTCCAGATTTCTAATGTTATCAGGTATGATACCACTCAGATTATTTCCTTGCAAGTTCATGCTGGAAAGCCTCGTTAGGTTTGAAACTGAAGGCGGTATGGATCCGCTCAGAGAATTCCAGCTGATGTTAAGAATAAAGAGGTTACTCAAAAATGAGATAGTATCTGGGATTTCTCCGGTAAGCTTGTTTTGCTGCAGTTTTATCACTTGAAGCCTTGTAAGGTTTCCAAATGCAGGAGGTAAGATCCCGGTGAACTCGTTCATAGCCAAGTTCAGGAGACTCAAGCTCACAAGATTTCCAAATGAAGGAGGTATGAGGCCAGTTAAACTGTTGTTGTCCATCTCCAGATAGATTAGGTTCTGCAGTGATTCAAACGCAGCAGAGTACACCGACCCTGTTAGCTTATTGCTTCCTAGTCTTAGCCTAACCAGGCTAGACGAAATGCTTTGCGGTATCCATCCAACAAGTTGATTAGACGACAAATCCACAGAGACGAGTTTAAGCTGTGACAAAAGGTCATCTGGAATCGACCCCACTAAATTGTTGAAACTGAGATCTAAGTTCTCAAGGTGTTTTGTGATCCCTGATGGAATTCTTCCCATGAATCGGTTACGATTTGCTGCAAACCGACGCAAGGTTTGGATGCTTGAAAGTGATTCTGGTATTGGCCCGCTAAGATAGTTGTTGGAAAGAAGTAAACTTTCTAACTTGGAGAGATTTCCCAACGAACTCGGGATTGACCCACTAAGCTGATTATCACTGAGATCTATCAGCTTTAGTTCTTGGTAATCGTCGATCCCCTCGGGAATAGTACCGCTCAAACCATTATCTGAAACCTCGAGCTTCTCCAGACCTTTGGTCAAATGAACTGGAACAGAACCAGTTAAACGGTTGAAGCTAAGATTCAAACTCCTCAACTGAACCAACCCATCAAAACCATAGTCTCCAATGTTCCCACTCAACACGTTGTGAGAGAAATCAAGAACTGCCAATTTGGAGAAACCGCGGAAACCAGGGGAAGAAGAAAAGTTGTTCGTGCTGAAATTAAGATGCTTCAACCCAATGAGTCTTTCGCAATCCGTCACGAACCCATCTGGGATTGAGCTTAATCTGTTGTTGGAGACATCGAGAGACTCCAAAGTCTGGAGATTGCAGACAAGTGGTAAGAAGGAAGAATTGGAGAGATCAAAGTTAGAGAGAGACAGGCTAATCACAGAGCTATTGTCTGGTCGGCTGCAAAGAACACCGTTCCATGAACATGGATTCCTCTCAGAACCAGGGAGATTCCAATCCGAGATATTAAGGAAACTAGAGAGTTCGATCATTGTGTTTGTCTGGTTCAAAGACAACTCAGAGAAACATACATGGCAACAAGACAAGAAGGTGAAGAAGAGACAGAACATGAACTTGCCTGTTTCTGAAGGAATATGTATCTTCTTCATCCTTTTGACCCTAGTGAATATTGTTTTCAAGCTAAAAGATGAAAAGCTTAACGAGAGTGCTGGGAAAATGGAAAAAGAGAGGTCAAGGAAAGTGAAGCGCAATTGTCACAGTGAATAGTGTAGCGTATTGATTGGGTTTAAGGAGTTGACTTGACTGATGCTGAGTTGCTGACACAAGTCTTTTCCAAATGTTTGGAGCCACGTCATCACTCTTTGTGTTTTTTTCCATGTATAGAAGTAAGTTCTCTTTTGTTGACCATAATAGTTTTGTTTTGTTCTCTATGTAGTATAAACCATGGAGAAATCCATTTCCCACTTTAAAGTCTCTCTAATCATTCAATTGTTTAGAAAAGATGAAAAATGACATGCCTTGGGAAATTCTAAGAAAATGTTTTAAATAAAAGTCTTATTGACTATAATATATATAATTCTAGGAGTTTTAAAGGCTAGAAATGTATAAAATTGTCAAGCATGTTTTAGAAAAAATAAATTATATTAACCATCATGCAAGTTTAGTAGTAGTAATTTCTAGAAATAGGGAACCTATTGTAGGTCGAAATTATTAAGAAGGATTTATTGTTATTGTTAATGTTAGACATTCGTATTTGCTTCAAGTAAAAAATGTGTATACAAAATCACGTATGCTGAAAAAAAAAAAAAAAAAAAACAGTACCGTGATATGTTCTTTAGCTATACATAACTAATTGACTAATTGTTCATTCATCTTTCTCCCATATAATCTCGGAAATCTTCATATATTCAACGGATAATTGATATGTTCTGTGGCTTAAAAGAAAACTTGAAAACCATAATTTTTGAAAAGAGAATAAAATTGATTCAGTACCACACTAAGAATTGAATAAATATTTGAAATCATATAATATTCTCAAAAATGAAGATACGAAAGACTTAAAAGATGAAAGATTGTTTTTTTTATTATTTTTTTGTCATCGATGATATATGAGGATTGTGTGTATTCGGACAAACCCGAATAGCAAGTTTGGAAAATAAAGAATATGAGCATACATAAAATAAAAGATAGAGACACAAACTTGTCGAAACTTGAATAGAGCACCAAGAGAAATGTCGAAACAAACTAACACGAACAAGCCCAAGAGAGAAAACACATTCAACACATAATCATCAACTGGCAAGTAGATAGTCACCATACTTTGTGACGTTAAGACGAGGTTCGAATCAACATATGTGGTTCTAGGCTGGAAGCAACTTGGATTTGCCTCTCCCGCATACAGGAAGAAGCCGGAGAAATATCCGGTGAGCAAAATATGCGGAATTGGGCGGAATCCGAACCAATAGAGGTGGTTCTAGATTGGACGCAAACTGGCCCTGCCTCAGACGAAAGCATAAAAAATCCGGAGAAGTATTATGTGGAGGAGAGGTAGGAGAAATAAACAGTATTGCAGTATACGTAGGAAAAATTAATAAACATTATTGACGCAAACTGGCCCTGCTTCTGTGTCTTTTAACAGTATTGCAACATTTAACATATTAGTGATGTTAGATTAATATAAGAAACAAGATTCCAAAGGGTGAAATAAGATTAAAAATCTATTGACAGTATTGCAACGTTTCTGACGAATGACGCCTAATGCTAAACTATTTTCTTATATTGCTGAAAGCTATTGTTTCTTCCTTAGACTAATTAACTTTATTTGTTTTGCTGTGAGGAATTTGATAAATAAGATAAACAAGTATTTATAAGAAAACAATATCCAAATTCTACATTAGAATATCGGGAAAATCCCATAAAAAAACTTTCAAGGTGGCAACCACTTACACTTTAAACCTTAAAGGTTTTGAACTCTACAATAAACCATTAAAATAACAATTATGTTTTTTAAAACTTTCAAAGAGAAATTTGTGTTCGCGGATCCATATAAATTCAGGAAATAATTGATTTCATCAACAAAAATATTTGTTTTTCGTTATAGATAATGATGTAACTTCAATAAGTAATTTTATTTTAATAAAAAAATCATAGTAAAATTTACTATTTATCATAAATAATATATTTTAAAATTACGGAAAATTAAAAATTCAGTGTATTCAATCTCTTCTTCGTGTATTCAATCCTTTAGAAATTTCACGCCAAGAACCTTGTTTTATGATTTAGCAGTTTGATCTATAATTCTTGGCATGAAATGTATGCAAGCTTTCACTTACCCAGAACCAAAATGTTTTTTTTTTTTTAATTTTAAAATTATTGATTCAGAATACCAATTTAATTAGGTTACCAAAAATGATATACTAGAATAAAGTTACTCACAAGAAATATCTTTGCAAGAAATCTTAGTCACATAATCAATAGTTTACTAATTTAGCGATATATCATTATTAGTTTGACAAGTGACAACGTATGATAAATGAAATTTCTTATACAATATAATATTGATCTAATTAAGTTATACGAAAAACAACATATGCATATTATTATTATTATTATTATTATTATTATGAACTTAAACAATATAAGAAAATTTAAATATTTGCAGACGAAACAATTGAAAATTTTACAGATAGCCATATAATTTATATATGAGAGTTCGTAATCGATTATGATTGTCTGAATGAGAGTTCTCTAGTGTCATGATTACAACTTTGGATCAATGTCTCAAATGTCGCTTTTGATCAAAAACTGATATAGATGTTAGTCTTCTATTAATTTTTTAACGGCGAAAAATAGTAAAATGACCTTTTAATCTTCAAAGTTCTAGGAATTACACACCCAGCCAGCCACTAGAAGAAACCCACCCAAATTGATTAAGTGGGTATGTAATCGGATCACCCATTCATTAGTCCATCAAACACTTTTTTTTACATTTTATTTCGATTACCCTTTTCTTATTTCTCCTTCTCTCGAGCAACTACTTTAGTGTTATGTTGTGTTGTTTTAAGAACTTTAGTCTATGTCCTTATTTCTCCAGCGACTGTGCACCGTCTACCTAGTTATTGATGTGCGTTTAAGAGGACGGATCATGTGCCGTCAACAAACAAACTTGAAGAGAAACTGTGTTCACTAGTTCTACCTAATATACAATGTGCTCATAATTGCACATTTTTAGCCAACTACATTAGTTTATGTACCATTATTCACCTTGCCTATTCTCACTACTATTTTCAAGGCATTCATGCGTTTTTGCCTCTGAAGCAATTTAATTAGAGATAATTGGGTGAGAGACGCTACTTTTTGAAGTATTTAAATTTTCGGTGTTAGGCCATATAACACAAGACATTGATAATAATTAGCCATTCTTTTTTCCGATTTTAGCCTCACTCGCCTCTCTCCTTTATGAAAACAATCGGCCCAACCTCTCTTTTCTGCAACATCTCGCCTCTTTTCTCTGTTTTCTCGGAGTTTTCTTGAGTCTAATGAAATCTTTGGTCGATTTATGTTGTTTTTGTGCTTCTAGTCACCGGAATTGGTTTTAAATCTATTGTTTCTCCGTCGTTTGCAACAAAATCCTAACTATCTATATTAGTCGTTTCTTCTTCCCAGATCCACTTAGTTCTTTACCTATTTTTTTAGATCCAGTTTAGATATTCACAAATCAGCATAGATCTATAATTTCGTGTTTGCATGTTCATAATATTTCCGGATGGTCTAATAACTGATGAAAATCTTCTCTCTTTTCTTCAGGACATGCCGGATCTAGACCTTCCTGCTAGGTTATTCGCCGATCGTGAAGAACCTGTGGGTGAGCGTGTTAATCAGTACTTCAAGCTACACACGATTAAAGCTGTCCTAAAGACTTTACAACCGACAGAGCTTGAATTGATTCGGCCGTGTTTTGGGAAATTGCTCGATGTCTACTCGAAGCTTGTCTTCTCCGGGAAATTGGCCCATTTCCTATTTTTTTTTTCATGTTCATCTCTCTCTCAACTTTGCTCTAATTCATTCAAACCGATAAGAAAAGCAGCGTCGTGTTTATTATTCACACTGCCATTGTTTATTCATCGGAAAAGATAATTTTTCTGATACAAATAAGAGTCTAAAACATTTTTTGGATCTTCACAAATAGATCTACAAAGTATAGATGCATATCTCATGTTCATCTCTCTCTTCATTCTGTTCTAATTTATTCAACCGATAAGAAAAACATCGTCTTGTTTATTACTCACACCGCCATTGTTTATCTATCGGAGAAGATAACTTTCAAGATACAAATAAGGATCTAAAACATTTTTTGGATCTTCACAAATAGATCTACAAAGTATAGATGCAGATCTATGTATGTGTTTATCTGTATACAAATATTAAAATCGTGTAAAATATTTATTGGGTGTCCATGCAACTAGGTTAGTTGTTTAAAAATTTCAAAGTAACTATTTATCGAGTGTCCATGCAACTACGATAGTTGTCTATATTCAAATTTGAGCTAGCTCGAGTTAAGATCTATTGCATTTATTAACAATCACTTCCCATTTAATTTGAACATTTAATTTGTGTCACTATGTTCCTTCGTTTATTCGTAAAGTCATATTCTCCTCCCCACGCGCACGACGTAAGTCCAGCCTGGTATTCTTGTAATTATTGTCAACTATAAGCCCTATTACAACTTTTTTTCCAACGTTGTCTCCGACGCTTGTCACTAATACTGGTTTCCTAATTATTATCAAAAATAACGTCTCTGCACAAATTCACTCATTTAATTATGGTTGAGGAAAATTAGATGGCGACTAGGAGCAGATCTAGGTTGCTTAAGAGTGGGGCACGTACTCCATGCCAAATTTATAAAAGTTCGTTTGTAGATTTGTGGTTCGAATTCGGTCGGCCACATGTTTTTTTTTTTGTTGACATTGCCTTTTTCTTCCATCTCAAATATTAATTGTTTGATGTAATATCCTCATTTGGTTTACAAATACTTAACTCCAACTTACTTATTTACTTGTCAGTTTTACATGTTTCATTACTTCATTATTAATTGATTAAAAAGTATGTGTACTAACTATTCTATTTTTTTTTTCTGAAGAGTAATTACGAAATTATATATCTATATATGGTTGTTAAAAATAAATTATGTATTGATGAACATAT